CGTGTCAACTAGCATAGAGATGGGGCGACAGAAGACCATACCAGCCCGCTCGAGGATGTCATGGGTGAACTAAGTCTGATGGAGGAACATCCCAGTGGAAGTGCGATGAACATTGATGCCGAGGAAGAAATGTAAATCTCCCATGTGTGTCATGGCAAACTCAGCCTTGAGTTTCTGAATGATGCTCTATAGGAGTGCAGGTGAAGAGGCACTGAGAATGATGTCGTCGACATAAAGTAAAAGATAGGTCGTACCCGTGGCATGAGAAAAAGTGAAGAGGGACGTGACAGACTTGCACCCTTGGAACCCGGTAGTCTGAATGAAACCTGCAAACTTTTGAGCTTGCAGACATGATGAGGGCGTTTGGCATCCTGGAATCTAGATGGCTGACTCGCATACACGGTTTCCTGAAGCTGGCCATGGAGGAATGCATTTTTGACATCTAACTGATGAATGGGCCAACGCGAGACAGAGCAAGACTGAGGACGACGCGGACAGTAGCAGGCTTGATAACGGGGCTGAACGTTTCACCGTAGTCGACGCCAAAATACTAATTAAACCCACGAACAACCCATCGGGCCTTATACCTGGTTAACTAACCTGAATGGCCAAGTTTATGTCTGAAGAGCCATTTACCGGTGATGATATTTTGTGTGGGGGAGTGGGGTACTAATTCCCATGTGTCATTCCTGATCAAAGCATTATATTCATCACACATAGTAGCATGCCAGTTTGGATCTTTGAGAGCACTACGGTTAGTTGGGGGTAAGGGGGAAATAGGTGCAGAGGTGTTGAGATTTAGAATTTGTTTGGGGCAAAAGGTACCGGCTTTGGAGCGGGTTTGCATTGGGTGGACGTTGGGCATGAAGGGGGTGTTAGCCTTGGTTTGCTAAGCCTCATGTTTTGATGTTAACAAACAATATAAGAGCTTAACGTTTGTTTAAGTGTTTCAGGTACAACAAGAATCCATTAAGATTCGATACTCAAGAATGAAGTCGAAACACTAAACTAGCATAGAATATAGGTAGAAACCAATGTAACGATATGATTTTATACACCTATATTCACAAGCTCAAAAACACTCAAAAAATATGTTTAAAACCCTTTTATAATCATTTTCAAACATCCAAAAGGTTTTAAATAAAATTAGAGACGATTTGGACAAAAATGAAAAAATTTTCAAAATGGTCATAAGGTACCTAGGTGCCGTAAGCACGGGACCCCCCTACTGTATGGACGGGACCCCCCTACCGTAAGGGGTACCGTAAGAGGATAGGTACCGCCAGAGAGTTTTGGCCTGAGAAGGTACCTAGCTACCGTAAGCACAGGACCCCCCTACCGTCTGTACGGGACCCCCCTACTGACTGGACGGGACCCCCCTACCGTTACCGTTGGAACACTATTCCTGATTAGTGATTTTTGAATTAATTCAACCCTAATCACCTCCTAACGGCTAATTAACATCTTCCACTATAAATATAGGCCTAATACTTCATATTTGAACAAGAAAAAAAGCTCTAAACATCCTCTCTTTTTATTCTAAGTGTGTTCATCCTTTTATTAATTATTTTTCAATATTTTGGCTATTTTAAGAGCGTTAAGATCCTAATTTTAATACACACACTTTGAACTTGTGTTTTTAGTTATATACTCTCATATTTATAAGTTTATATTGTATTTTTTAGAGAGTATAATTTAGTTCTACACCGGCTAGGTTTTGTTCTTCATTTTTATATTCAATCCGTTGTGTAGAACCTTTGTTCGTGTTCTTCAAACACACCTTCTTTCGGTCGAGAATAGCCGTTAAATTCTCACATTGTAACGGTCAAGGATAGCCGTATAAATCCTTGGGTAAAGGTTCAAGGATAGCCTTTGAAATCCTTGGGGAAACAGTAGAAGATAGCCGTTAAATCTTCATTGTAAACGGTTCGAGATAGCCGTAGTAAACTCTCGGAGTGAATCCTATTGGCAAGGGTTGTTTGCCAAACTAGTTCGGTGCTTTGACGAAGTTCAAGAGGCCGGAACTTAGTAGATTCGGAAATCCTCGAGGAGGAGCCTCGAGGTACTAGAGTAGGGAGTTCCCGAACCAGTATAAAATCGGTGTGTCTTTTATTTAACGCTTTTATTTCTGCTTTTTATTTATTGCTTCTGCATTTGCCAACACCGTTTTTATCAAACTCCGAAAAGTTTTCAAACGCCTTATTCACCCCCCTCTAAGACGTGGGCACAACGACTAAAGCCGACTAACAATTGGTATCAGAGCGGTTTCGTAGTTGAAAGTGCTTAACCGCATCTACGACCAAGATCCACTTGTTGTGTCCCTTTTTTTTGAATTTGAATTTTAAAATATCAAATATTTATTTTCCCTAATTTTTTTAAATTCAAATTTATGGCC